AATTGTTTTTTTAATAATTGAAAATTTTTTATAACCTATGAAATAATAAGCAATATAAATAAATGATAGAGAATATATGATTAGAAATATATAAGTGAATATATGAATGAGAGAAAGATAAGAGATATAAAATCAAAGTATATAAGTGATAGAGTTTAGAATTGGATGAAAATATTGTAAAAGAGATGTAGAAGAAAAAAAAAATAAAGCTTTAAATAAAAAATCAATACTTCTTTTTGAAATACTGATAGACCTAATAGGTTCTTTGTTTTTATAATTGGGTTAAAAAAATTTCAACCACTTTCATTATATTTATTAACATATCAATACAATTATACTATGAAAAATTATACTCTTTGCTTTTATAATCAGGTTTTAAAAAAAACACATATCAATTTACTGATAGATGTATTACATACTGATAGATTCTTTATTATATTTCTTAACATATCAATACAATTATACTCTGTTTTGACAAATAAACTTTTTATTTGAAAATTATATGATCAGATTTTAAAAAATATATATCAACTTACTGATAGATCTTTTGTTATACTTTCTTAACATATCAATCATATCAATCATCTTTATTTTGCTATATATACTGTATTCCTCTGAAAATAAGCACTCTCTGAAAATAAGCACCTCTGGTCTACACTATACCAACTTTGGCCTGCTTTACGACAATCACAGCCAGCATTAAGTGCAAAAAAGGGTGCTTATTTTTGGAGGAATACGGTATCAACTAAAATATGTTTTTTGTTTTGATATTTTTTTAGTAATTTGAATTAATTATAAAAGTTATTAACATCCTGATATAACTTTCAATTATAATCCACATTATTTGAGATTGATTAATAGATTTTTTAATTTTTCTATATATTTTTTATACAACAAAATCAATAAATCAGCCTATATAATTTTTTTACTTTGTATATCAAGAAATTAAACTTTTTGATTTAATTTTTAAGTGATTTAAATTAGCAAAAAGTTATCTATATTTTAGTAATTCTTCAATCACATTCAATAAAGTTATTTACTAATTTTATAGTATAAATTTTAATTTATAATAGATTATATAATAATATATATTATAACTGATTGTAAATTTTAAGCCGATATTAAATTAACAGTGCTTTAAAATCATCTAACATAATCATAAGTATAATCATATTGTTTTTTGAAAATAAGACCTGGTTATAAAAAGTATAAATAGATCATATATTTTTTTAACATATATTATTAAGTTTGACTTTTTCGCATCATTCTTCTTTTAGTGATATTTATTTGACTTTTTACTTCACTCATAAAAATTATTACTATATCTATTATTATATATTTATATACTAATATATTAAATTAAAGCTTACTTAATAAATAAGGTATAATTTATATAAAAGAAATCATTTTTCTTGTCTCTTTCCTTTTTTCAAATTAAAATAACAGAATATCTAATAATCCTATCTATATAAATTTTTTTGATCTAATTTTGAAAAATGCAAGGTAGAACTTCATATCAAATTAATATTATTTCAAGTCGATCTTCAATTTCTCTATCCTATCACCTCAAAGAAGTATACTACTATGATTAACAGTATCTTATTGGCAAGGCTACCAGTTTATTTCTAATTGAAACCAATACAAAAGCCATAGTTATTATCATTCTGAAACTCTATTTCGTCAAAACTATTATCACTCTAAAACTCCATCTTGCTGAAATAATTGTTGCTCTATAACTCCATCTTGCAAAAATTACTATTGTTCTAACACACCGTTTAACCACTAACCTGAAACTTTGAATTAAAATATTAGTTATAGATCTATTTTACCAGCAAATAAACATTCTTGCTGCTGCTCAAAAAGTCCTAATGAACAAAAGAATAAAGATTACTTTATACATAAAAAAAAAGTACTGCAAAGCTTAAACAAGCAAATCTTATAAGATTTGTGTGGTTTAGCTTTGTGGCAAAAAGTTTTTACTAATAGAGCTATTGAATTATCGATGTATCTAACAAAGAATTTTATATTAATAGAAATCATTCTTTTAACAACTACGGTACAAAGTCTGATTAATGAAGTAAAAATATTAAAAGCTGATAAATCAACTACACCAAAAGATCTTCTAGTACATGTTATAGATAATAATAATCAAACAACCTATAAAAACGAACTTAATGAAACATCTAAAAATACCAATACTATTAATATATCTGAAAATAACAAAACTACCAAAGCACCTGAAGAAGCTAATAAAACTAATAAAACTAATAAACTATTGGAGCTACTGAAGCTCTTCACAATACTAGTATAACCGAAACTACTATAAATAAAAACAAGAATAAGCAAAAGGAACAAGATGTTCATGAGAGAAATTGAAAAAAGCTCTCAATAACTTCAGAACCTCCTATTAGTTACAAGAGAAGACCACTTAAGCTCTTGAAAAATATAGATTCTGATTAATATAAGCTTTTTTATGTATATTAATGATATTATAATAATTAATAGTATTGTAGTTATTAATTACCTTTATTTAATTAGGATAAGGTAGTCAATATCTTAGATGGCTTTGATAATTCTTTGCAGCTTGATCTGTCAAAAAGATGGATAGAAATTTATGAAAAAATATCTAAACAAACTATACTAGTGATCGGTAAGGCTTTAGAAAGCTATTTTAAATATAAAATTAGTGAACTTAAGTATTTCTTCCAAAGCCTTTATCACTACTAATGTGAGAAATAGTCTATAGATCAAGATGAAGATAAATCAAAAATTAATAGAAAAAAAAGGGAATAAATGCTTAATGTTCTGATATAAGTATAAATTATTTTTATAAAACTACTGGGTTGCTGATATTTATTATAAATGAACTGTTTTTTTTTTTTTTGTTTTAATAAATAAACAGTTTTTTTTTTGTTTTAAATTTATGATTTATAAAAAAAAAAAGGTGAATTTGTGATATTGGTTATATGATTAATACCAAAGATTGAAACCTTAGAGACCTTGTACTATTACATCAGCAAATTATATAAACGTAATCTTACGTAAGTTATTACAAACCAAAAAATTCCGCAATAATTACGATCGATGCGGAATATTTCACAATTTTTAATTATGGAATATTACAAAATATATTACGCTATATTACGAAAAAATTTCGCAATATTTCGAAATAATTTGCAATAATTCAAAACTAGAAAAATAAATTAGCTATAAAACTGGAATAAAATAAATACGTTAATTAAAAAATGCGAATTAATTCGGGTATATTAAATAAAATTCGAACTAGTTCGAATT